TGCAAAGTCCACAAAATGATGAGGCTGACCAACTGGAAAGACAAGATGGCTGGGGGAAGTCCCAGCAGAAGAAATTGCCATTTTTGTAATACTGTAGATTAAGAATGCAGGTCAAAAGACAATGTGGGGCCTCATGCCTTTAGTAATCCCAGCAGCTCCAGAGGCAGAAAAACAAAGTTTAAAACCAGGCACAGCAACAATGAGGTGCTATGAAACTCAGTGAGACCCTGCCTTTAAATAAAATACAAAACAGGGCTAGGGATGTGGCTCAGTGTTCAAGTGCCCCTGAGTTCAAACACCTAAAAAAAAGGACAATGTAAGAAGCCATAATACACTGGGGACTGCTCACAAAGATGCCTGACATTATTCTTGCAAGCCAAAACTGTCTTGCCTGCTCTCAGCACTACCCACAACAAATATATGCCACCAAGGGGCATATTAAATTGGGGTCATGGCCCTCTTTAGTGGTAGTAGGTAGAGTACATTGACCCAGTCTCATTATAAGAAGGGACAAATTATGCTTGACTTGTGTGGACATACTTATAGGCTTGATGATACCCTTCCACAACAACAACAACAAAAAAGCAAATGTATATGAAACTATTAAGGAACTGACCCAGTTGAGTGCCATGTACGGGTCACCACAGGTAACTGAGTGTAAACACAGAACTCATTCCACAGCCAATAATACATAACAGTGGGCTCAAGACCAGGTAACATTGTGGATATCCTACTTAACACACAATCCAACAGAAGTTCTTTAATTGAAAGAATGAATGTAATGTCGACATGAGCCGTAAGGACTGAGAGTAACTTTATGTAGCCCACTCATCTGCCTAAAGAACTGAATCTACTAAATAAGAAATGTAGACATCAGAAACTAGCACCTGTTTTTTTATTACCAGCTCATGGCTGCAAGTGTTAAGGTTACAGATAAAGGGCAGTGCCACTGAAATTTTTCTTAAACCAACCTGGGGCATAAGTTAACAACTTCTCGTTCTTGAAGACAACATATGGGAGACAAGGAGCATTAGTTGGCCATGGGCTGAACAAACAAGATCCTGGTGATTTGCCTTAATGACCCTTAGGTTGGAGGAAAATAACAAAATTTGCAAGTAAATCCTACTGTGTTGAAATTCTGATCCTCACAAATATAGCTGATGCTATCCTTGGGTATTATGGTTTGAATATGCGGTACCACCAAAAGCTCATGTGTGAAACAATGCAAGATGTTCAGAGGTAAAAAAAATAGATTATGAGAAGTATAACCTAATTAGTGGATTAATCCACTGATAAGGATTAATTGTGTGGTAACTGTAGGCAGGTAGGGCTAATCTAAAAGTAGGAGGTCCTGGAGGTGGGAATGTCTTTGGGGTTTATATTTTTTCCAGATGCCCTTCAATAGATTAATGGATAAAAAAATGTGGCATTTATACACAATGGAGTATTATGCAGCACTAAAAAATGACAAAATCATGGAATTTGCAGGGAAATGGATGGCATTAGAGCAGATTATGCTAAGTGAAACTAGCCAATCCCTAAAAAACAAATGCCAAATGTCTTCTTTGATATAAAGAGAGCAACTAAGAACAGAGCAGGGAGGAAGAGCAGGAGGAAAAGACTAACATTAAACAGAGACATGAGGTGGGAGGGAAAGGGAGAGAAAAGGGAAACTGCATGGAAATGGAAGGAGACCCTCATTGTTACACAAATTACATATAAGTGGTTGTGAGGGGAATGGGGAAAAAAAAACAAGGAGAGAAATGAATTGTAGTAGATGGGGTAGAGAGAGAAGATGGGAGGGGAGGGGAGGGGGGATAGTAGAGGATAGGAAAGGTATCAGAATACACAGTCACTATTATGGCATCATGTAAAAATGTGGATGTGTAACCGATGTGATTCTGCAATCTGTAATTGGGGTAAAAATGGGAGATCATAACCCACTTGAATCTAATGTATGAAATATGATATATCAAGAGCTTTGTAATGTTTTGAACAACCAATAAAAAAAAAGAAATATCATCTGTGATGTGACTTTAAAACACAATTTCCTATATATGCCAAAGTGATCAGTATACCCCTCAAGCTGTGACATTTTATTCAAATGCCCAAGTAGACTTCTCTCCAGAACTAATGGATATATAAGTTTTTCTGTAGCATTCTGAAGAGTTGTAGATGACACTTCTGGGAAAGAAACAATATGCTCAATCTTCTCACAATCGATGAAAAGTGAATCCTAAAATCTAGGTATTCCAAGAAGGACTAAGAACATACTGCCTACATGTGAATGAACTAAAAACAGAGCATGTATCCTCAAATTTAAAACAGTATTTACTAAAGGAGAAAAGATAGCCTCTTCAGCAAATGGTGCCGGAAAAACTGGAAATCCATATGTAACAAAATGAAATTAAATCACTATCTCTCACCATGCACAAAACTCAACTCAAAGTGGATCAAGGACCTAGAAATTAAACCAGAGACTCTGTGTCTAATAGAAGAAAAAGTAGACCCTAATCTTCATCATGTGGGATTAGGCCCCAACTTCCTTAATAAGACTTCTATAGCACATGAATTAAAACCAAGAATCAATAAATGGGATAGATTCAAACCAAAGCTCTTTCTTTCTCCATTATCTGCCTCTAGCTGCACTGACTCGACTGGACAGCAGTGACTGAACCTTGTGAGGTTATATTACCTTAAACAAGAATAGGCAGAATACACATACTTATAAGGCCCACATGGAATGCTCACCAACATGTACCACACTGTGGACATAAAATACACCTTAAAATTTAATAATATCTTGTCTGTTCTCAAGTCAATATGAAATCACAGTAGAAAGAAAAAATCAAAAACTAATTGGAAAATACCCATACTCATGATGATAAAATAACCAATTTTAAATACTATGCTAAACATAAAGAAAACTCAGCTGGGCAAGGTGGTGCACACCTGTAATCCCAGCATCTCAGGAGGATGAGGGAGGAGGTTCACGAGTACAAAGCTAGTCTAAGCCTCTTAGGGATGTTCTGAGCAACTTAGTGAGACCCTGTCTTGAAATAAAAAATTAATAAGTGGGCTGGGGATGGGGCTCAGTGGTTAAAAGCCGCTGGGTTTAATCCCTGGCACAAAAAATTCTCCAAAATACATTTACTTAAATGTCAATTAAAATAAAAATTTATCAATAACTGTGGAATACAAGGAAAGCAGAACTTAGAGGAAAATGTATGGAACTGGATTCATGTCTCAGAAAATATGGAAGATCTAAAAGCAATCATCTGATTTTTTTTACTTTGATCCCAGAAAAAGATGAGCAACATATTTAGAAAATGACATAATATTGCAAAGATAATAAAAGAAATTAAACAGAGTTTTCAAATGACTTGATAATAGTTTGCAGACTATGATGTATCCAAAAGTTGAAGGAAAATACAGCACCCAAAAAGAATCACTGCAAACAGTGTATTAATTCAGGGAAATTTCATTTGCTTACTAAGGTAGCAAACTCTTAACTGTGAATAATCTGCCTAAAAGAAACTTAGGTAAATAACTAGTGGCACATTCATATTGTAAGACAGCACATGTGATAAAGAATAAGTTCAAAACAAATGCTGTCTTCTGAGACACAAGAGAATTATGAGGTTTGTGTGAGAATATCAACAAATATTTAAGAGGACATGCAGGCCCAGGTGAACATATATGTGTGTGTAATACTGAAATGTCTCCTCAAGACCTGCTCAGTGCTGCCTATCACCCATTGCTAGAGCTTACCTGGAATGCCTGATCCTGCCCATCATACCTTTGTCACTTACCTGTGTTCCCTTCTCTTGGGTTGCTGGAACGATTGTTATAAATGCAGAGTGGCAGTTGTGTACTCTTTGTTTCTTCATTCCAGAGTTACACGGTGCTTAATATAATAAGCTCTGGAAAGAAAATTGTTGTGTTAAATAAATTGCTTAGTAAAAGATAGCTATTATCCACAAATATAATCAACAACTTTTAAAAAGAATGCTCAAAACTGATATATGAACATGTAAAGAAAGTAATCTCAAGAAATACTATTATTCATTTATTATTAACTCAATAATTATTACCATTGACATTAATTAATTTTCAAAGCATAACATAAGGTATTGATAATCCATAAGGAAAAAGAAAAAGAAAAAACAAAAACAAAAACCCCTCCAAATTCATAAATCAGAGAACATAGTTTCTAGGTGGATCAGAGACCTATACCTAAATGTAAAAACAGTTCAATGCATCACTTAGTATAAAATTTAGCAAAATAAATTCATGACTTTGTGGTAGTAATTATGACTTTGTGGGTACTAATTATTAAGCTAAATCTAGGAGGAAGTATCCATATAAAAGAACAATTATCTAACATAGTCAAAGTGAGCAAAAATAGACAAAGACTGAATTAATCTCAAGAGTCTCCCTTTTTTTTCTTGTGGGGCTTTTGCTGACATTTAGAATTAAATTGCATGACATAGTGACAGTTTTTTTCTAACTGCAATATATATCATTTGTATCAAATGTAAAAATGCATTTCATTAACAATGAAAGAATAAAACTTTTAAAACCAGACAGGTAACTTTTATAACTTTTTTTTCAGTAAACATGCAGAAGGTACTCTAATACTGAATTATAATCCCAGTACTTTTCTATTTTTTTATGTTGAGATAGCATTTAAATTGCTCAGGCTGGCCTTAAACATGTGATTGTATCTCAGTTTCCCAAGTTGCTGAAATTACAGACATGCACCACATTGCCAAGGTAACTTAGAATTTTTATCTAAAATTTATTCAAAATAACCAGTTTGAGCTTATAATAACATAGTTATTTATCTTTTATAACTCCTATGATTGCATGAAAAACAGAAAGACATATTACTATACATAATATTAATAAAGGTATTCTAATATTCTTCATTCAGATGAAACTCTCATGAACCACATTTTGACTCATCTTACCCATGACAATTCCTTTTTTAACCATTATCTCTATTAATCAGAAGCACAGGTGATAGGGCTTTTTTTTTTTTTTTTTTGATACCAGGGATTGAACCCAGGGACACTTAAATACTGAGCCACATCCCTAGCCCTGTTTGTATATCATTTAGAGACAGGGTTTCACTGACTTGCTTAGTGCCTCACTTTTGCTGAGGCTGGCTTTGAACTCATAATCCTCCTGTCTCAGCCTCCCAAGCCTATTCTTGAGAGACTTGTGCTATATTTTCCAAAATTCTTTCTACTCTATGGACACTGTTTCTACATGTTTTAAAGTTACAGTCACCAGAAGGTGACAACAGAAGAGATTTGTTTGTGTGTATGTGTGTGTGTGTGTGTGTGTAGTCATAAGTTAACATGATTTATAATTTAATTTTTAACAAACAAGATTTTTAGACTAAATTTATGTATGTGCATCTGAGCACTATCACAATCACCATGAGCTTTCTAGCCAACAGTGTTCCTACTGTCAATTTCAAGATGTATCTTTATTGGAAAGAAAGGAAAATGTACACTATTGGATCTATGGAATACTTTACTTTTCTCTGAAACTTACCATTTCTCAGTGATTCTATATTATCTATTATTGAGAAAACATTCTAAAATACGGTTTTATATAAATTGACCAATGTTATTTACCTTCCATCAGGAATAAAGATGAAGTTATTAGTGAACTACTAGAATTTCAAGTTTAACTGTAGTGAATTCTAATAATTTTACATTGCCTTGACATACATTTTTGTATACATATCTAACTTGCTCATACCAAAAATTTGGTATAGACATCCATGAAACAGTTTATAGTTCTCTTTCTCTTCCACTAAAGAGCTTAAAGGAGGAAAAGAACTACAAACTGCTTCACATATGAATAAAACAAATTGCTAGTATGAGCTTATAGTAATGTATATATTTATTTATCTTGCATCACTTCATAAAACCACCTCATGGTGACAACTTCCAGGGGACAGGTAGATGTGGCAGTTTACAGGTATGCTGGCTCCAATTTCCTACAAGGATGATGAGATATTCCAGTGACCCGTTCTCATATACAGTGTGATTCCATGTAAAATGTGCTTGCTTCCTGGAAATCACCAATTATGACTCTCCTTGAGAAACATGCTCAAAATATCCTGTGCCACATGAAGGCTATAGCACACTGGTATCTCTTGTTTCTCTCTTTTCTCACTGTTCCTCTGTTCTGTGGGGTTTATGTCTGACTTCCTATAAACACTGTGGGGCATGCTGTCCACTTCTCACTGGGATCTAGCAATAAAGAAACGTATTATTTTTTCTCCTCTGAACTTTGTATTACCAACATACTTAACAGTAACTTATTTTCTAGTAAAGGCTCTCCTAGACAGTGTCTATCTTGGTAGGAATAGAGTGAACACAGATTATACAAAAGCCAAAAGGATATCTGCTATGTAAATAATTGTCCTATGTAAATGAATCTTGACATGGATAAGACATAGTGGTATGAGTTCATCCACCAGGTTAAAGAAGCATCCCATCATTTTGATTAGCTTTTATATAGTTGTGATCAGAAACCTGTCAAGAACAATTAGAATAGGAAAGGTTTATTTTGGCTTATGGTTTTTGAGGTTTAGTCTACCATTGGCTAACTCTGTAGCTTGGAGACCAAGGTGAGGCAGAATGTCATGGTGAAAGTGTGTGGCACAAGAAAGCACCTCGGGGCATGACAACAAGAAAGAGCAAAGAAAGGGAGGGGAGAGGGAAATGTAGAGAGAGAGGAATATGGAGAGAGAAAGAGAAAGAGAGACAGAGAGACAGAGACAGAGAGAGATATAGAAAGAGACATAAACAAAGTGCTGTACCAACCTGGGATAAAATATAAAATCCAATGTCATGCCCTCATTGATCACCACCTCCGGCTACACCCTACCTGCCTACAGTTACCATCCAGTTAGTCCATCAATGATCATGTTTAGCTTCCATAATCTAATCATTTTACCTCTGAAATGTCTTACATTGCCTTACACATGAGGTGATAGAGGATACCTCATATTTAAACCACATCACCTATGAAAGACCCATAAATACCTAGGACCAAATCCACTCTAATCCAATCAGAGTGGGGCTAGAGTTTATAGACACTGATGGGAGACCTAAAAAACAAATTACAAATAAAAATCCCTCAACATATATAGAATGCTAATTTAACAAACTATGGTTGAAAAACTCATTCAAAAGGAAAACAGAAATGACAAAATGTTTCTAAGATTGCTCTGGAGAGGCAGCTTTGTAAAGATGGAAAAATCTACGTACTCAGAATTTCTGCCCCAAACTTATGAGCAATGCTCCCTTTAAGTGACATTCAAAATTCATTTCTCCAACCCATAGCAATCCTATATCTATTTATTCTTTACCTTTATTTTGCTACTCACATGGACAGTTATCATGCAAGTCTCTTTATGAAGAAGACTGCAAATGTAGATGTATTAAGATTTTCATAAAATTTTAGATCTTTCCTCTTGCTTCTGTGAACAACACATATTGGGTACATGGTATACAGAACTGGCCTTTGTGTTCCATGATTAATATATCTCATTAGGAATAATCTCACACAATTTATAATATATTGGCACCTAGAATTTCAGTTTTTAAGAATACTCAATGTAATAGCAGGTTATGATCTGAAATGCATGCACCATTCTTCCTTTGACCAATAACTTCCATTAAGGCTAGATTGTGGAGCCAGGATGTTGTGCTCTTGTCTCAAGATGCAGTGTGACTTTGGGAGGCTTGCAATTTCATCTTTCTGAAAATTCACATTGTCAGATGAGCCTCTGTGAAATCTGCTCACAGGTGGTTGAGCAGGTTGTGAGAACTCATATCTGCTGTGCTTTCATGAAGTTATATTGGGAATGTGGTACTCAACACTGTCGCCTCTATTCCTATGAGCTCAAGTTAGTATAGTTCATTGTCTATCACTTGCCCTCCCTTAATCCTTAGCTCTCAAGTTAATGCTCCTACCATTTTGAATTGGGTCACTCTATGTCCTACTTACTTGGGTATTCTTGTATCCGGCCTATTGCTAACTTCGGTGTTATGTTTTTCCTTTTGTTCTTTCTTTTGTTTCTAGAGAATTTGAAGAGGAAACATTCTAAGTGTACATCACGATATATTCTAACATATGTACTGAAATAAATTGGACGTGTTGGTTAGACAATTACTTATATTTTAAGAAAAATTAAAATTACACAAGTGGGAGAACTCTCCATTTTTTAAACTGCAGATTTTAAAAGAGCCCACCATTTTTCAGGGATGAAAAATGAGCTTGGAATGGTTAGAAAGAAATTCTTGAATAACAAATGCCAATAAAACACCATACATACATACACACACACACACACACGTGCTATCCTGACCTCAAATGTGAGAAATGTGGTAGAGGTCAGGTGTGTCCCACTCTCTAGGTCTTTAGGCCATAAGAGCTAGTTTTCTCATTGTGGCTATTAGTGCAGTGTGGAGAATATGACCCATGATTACAGATCCTAAAATCAATCCTTGACTCTGTGGATGTCCACATGGTACAGTGTGCAGTCACGTGGCTCTGAAGAATATATAGATATGGGTCTTATATAAAACCCTGATGCTGACCATCTGAGAGCTGTGGCTCTGCGCAGGGAGCTGGGTAGTAAGTGGTCAGTCCTCCCTGCTCTGAAACTCTTTGTTTAATCAGCCCATATTCAGAGTTGCTGTTTGAATCTGCAAGGCTTTGTGGCAGCTCGGTTATTTGTGCCCAGCCAGACTGTGGCAGGATATTGCAAAGTCTGAGAGCTGGAGAGAGTGGAAGATAGGCTAAAAGTAGAAAACAAATTCTGAGTGTCCTAACCCCAAAGAACCACCTGGAGATGAGAAGAGTGGTAAGGAAACTTAGGCTCACCCACTTAAAAACAGTTGAAAAGACAGGCAAAATTTAAGTGTGATGCTAACAGAAGCATCCTTAAAACAGTGCAAACAGCTTAAAACCAAATTGTGAAAAGAAACCTAAGCCAGAAGTCTGAAGCCATGTTGTAGAACCCTTAGTAGTCTAGTCGCCCTCTTAAATCAGCATGATATCTTCCCAGGCCCAGACAGCTGCATATTAAACCTGAGGAAAAGTCCCCTGCAATGAGACAGCTTAAGAATCCAGCCAGAATAACTACTAGAAGGACCATTAGGAACCAAATATACTGAAACCTCCTATCCTTTACACTCACCACAAACAAGGGGAATGAATGGCCTGTTGGGGATAGATGCTGTGAAGTATACCTAGCCCAGCTCTGCAACCCAGGCAAGGACAGAAAGCCCAGTGCAGTGTCTGCTTGCTCAACTCAGATAGAGACAGCAATGAAGCAATATGGCCTCAAACAAAGGGTAGAAGATTCACAATGCACCAAACACTGAACTGGGTGGGGGGAGGCACAGTGGGAAAACTATGGCATTCCCCAGGATTATGGGGCCATACCAGAGGGAAGATGCATGAATATCCAGTGACACAGACATTCAGTGGAACATTACCAATCTAAGCAGCAGAAAGTTACGAATTCCAGCCCCATTGCATTGCCTGACACATAATCACAACACACAAGTGAAAGGACATTAGTTGGATATTTGTGGGACATTGCATAAGACATAGAAAACAGGGAATCAACAGCCAACATTCACAATGTGGGGCAGTGGAAACTAGAGTTTAGGTGAACCACCTGGAACCTTCAACTATGGTACCTCAGAGAGTGACTTCAATTCGTGGAATATTTCTGCACCATGATACAATGGTGGAAAAATCCACAAACAGAATTCCTGCACTCACAGATAGCCAACAAGATCTTCACTATCATGAAAAGGATACTGTAGAGGGGAACAGGTGTACAGTGACTCACAGCAATCACAGGGAACTCCACAGCCTGCATCCTGAACTTATGCATGCCACAGAGACAGGCCAGCCACAACACCACACCCTCTAAGTAATCAGCTGCAGGACCCTGGGCTAACAAACCAGAAGCTGCTGGTAATAGGTTCTTTACAAGTTGGTAATGGGCTCCTGCACACCTGCAACTCAAGAGAGAGATCCACAGACAAAGACTGGTGGACATCTGCTAAATGTCCAAACTCCAATGAAATCCAAACCAAGATTCAACAAGAATTTTCTTCTCCTTGGCATGGTTTACTATAAACAATTCTGACAAACTTTAATCCTTTAAATAACTCTTTAACTCAAATTATTTAGTTATTGCCCTGAAGCCAACACATTTGAATTATTAAATCTGAAATTTTTAAGCATTAATTGGAATTAATCTTCCTATCTTTGTTTTCTGAGCTCTGGTTTATACTTCCTCCTCTTACTCCTATTCATCCTCATGCATTACCTGCCACTAACTTAAAAACCCACCATTCACCTATTTCTCCTTTCTACCTTGGTGTGAATTATTCTTTCCTATCATTTACCTTCCTCCCTCCCTCCCTCCCTCCCTCCCTCCCTCTCTCTCTCTCTCTCTCTTTTTCCCTATACTTTTTGCCCAATCTTTCTTCCAACTCTTGTTTTAGCTCACACTTAAGATCATAGTTAGTTCACTAAATTCAACAACTAATTTTTTACCTATTTGTGGATTGTACTATAGTTTATACATACATTTGAAGAACCATAGAATACAACTGCAACAAGTTTTTGTTTCTTATAAGGTTGAACAGCATGAGGCATGGCTCTGAAGATATTATAAGTAAATAGATCTCAGTGGAATCTCTGAAAGTGGTGTTAAAACTGGCATCAGCATTGGTCACCCTTTGACTTAAAATATCATTATATGGATACTCACTCATCCCAGGATTCTTAAGGAAAGAAGCTAATTAACTATCCTTTGTGGGCTATTTGAGCGTCTTCACTCGGCCTTGGAGCTAAGGAGATTTTGGTTTGGCATTACAAGATATTTTGCAGCTCCTCACTCTTAATGGATTGTGCAATACATGAGACTTCTGTCTTTGCTTGGCTAGGAAGACTGATCTCATAGCTCTGGAGTTTGGCATGACCGACCCAGAACTAGACAGCCCATCTCTTACTTTAATTGGCTAAGAACATTCTGTAGAAAAACTCTGAAGTTCCCCCATATATATAAAGCAAAAACAGGCTCTTGCTGTCTCTTCCCAGTGTAGAAGTTTGGCCCTTAAGGTCAAAGAGCTGTCCTGTCCTGTCCCACTTTATAAAACATTACTTCTGTGTCCTGTGATTTTTTTGCTATATTTCCCAGCCAGCCCACACCATGCAGGGGAACCCAGCTTCTGTCTCCTGTGCTGGCTGTGGGCAAGAGTCCTTCATTTAAAAGAAGTTAGAAATGTACTGATAGGTAAGTATACATATAAATATGAAAAAGCAAGGGAACAAACCATTCCAAACACCCAACAATGCTTCAACAATAGAACTGACACCACAGTGGAAGGAATGTCAGGGAGGAATTTAGAAAGTTAAGATGTTTCACGAGCTAAAAAGGGAAATAATTGGTGTAACACTATGAAAAGCAGTTTAAAGGTTTCTCAGAAAACTTGGAATGGAACCACCATTTGATCCAGGCATCCCACTCCTTGGTTTATACTCAGTGAACTTAAAATCAGCATACTATGTGACACAGCCACATCAATGTTTACAGCAGCTCAATTCACAAAAGCCAAACTATGGAACCAACCCTAGATGCCCTTAAACAGATGAATGGATTAAAGAAAATATGGTACACATACACAATGGAATATTACTCAGCCTTAAAGAAGAATGAAATTATGGCATTTGCAGGTAAATGCATGGAACTAGAGAATATCATGCTAAGTAAAATAAGCTAATCCCCCCAAAACAAATGCTAAGAAGATGCTGATTCATTTGGAGGCAGTGGGTAGGGAAGAATGAAGGAACTGATTCATAGTGGGGCAGGGGGTAGGGAAGAATGAAAGAACTTTGGATTGTGCAGAGTGGAGTGAGGGGAGTGGAGGCGCTGTGGGGATGGGAAGGGTGATGGAATGAGATACTCATTATTACTCTATATACATGTGCGATTACACTACTGGTGTGACTTAGCACCATGTACAGCCAGAAAAATAAGAAGTTGTGGTCCACTGTGCATCGTGTGTCAAAATGCATTTTACTGTCATATATAAGTAATTAGAACAAATTAAAAATATAAAAAAATGGATAGAATTTTAAAAGCTGCAAGAGAAAAATGGCTGATCACATTTAGAGGTATACCAATCCAGATTTTAACTTACTTCTCAACCCAGAACCTAAAAGTCAGGAGGGCTTGGAAAAATACATAAAGAGTTCTTAAAGAAATGGTTGCCAGTCAAGAATATATGCCAAATAAAGTTAAGCTTAAGAATTAAAGATGAAATTAAATATTCCATGATAAAAAGAAAGCTGAAAGAACTCATAACTATGAAACTGCACTACAAACACACCCAATAAAATATTGCATGAAGAAAAAAATGAAGAATAAAAATGCAAACCAGCATAGGGATAAATTACACTAGAACACTCATTTAAAAGAGAATCAACTGCAATTTAAGCATTAGAAATAAATCAAAATGGCAGGAAATAAAGTCATCTCTCAATAAAAACCCTGAATGTAAACAGTCAAACTCTTCAATCAAAAGACATTGGTTGGCAGATTATAATAAAAAACAAGACCCAACAATATGCTGTCTTCAAGAGACTGACCTCACAGGCAAAGACATCACCTACTTAAGGTGAAGGAATGTGGAAAACAACAAAAACAACAACAACAACATCGTATTCATATGGGTCTCATAAATAAACAGAGGTTGCTATTCTCATATCAGATAAAGTAGACTTTAGGCCAACATTAATTAGAAAAGACAAAGAAAGTCATTTCACCATGCTTAAGGGAATCATACATCAATAAGATTTGATGATCATAAATATGTATGCTCCAAACAATAGAACATCAATGTGCATCTAACATACCCTTCTCAATATTAAGAATCAAATAGAGCAAAATATAATAATATTAGGTAACTGAAACATGCCTTACTCACAGCTGGATAGACCATCTAAACAAAAACCAAGTAAATATTCTACAGAACTAAAAAAGAAAATT